CGTGCGTGCGTGCGTGTGTGTGTGTGTGTGTGTGTGTGTGTGTGTGTGTGTGTGTGTAAGCCAGGCAGCACTGGGTGTCTTTTACAGTAGCAATTCACTTTATTTTTTGAGACAGGGTCTTCTGATAAACCTGGAGATCACCATTTTTGCTAGCTTGTCTGGCTATGATGTCTCAGGAATCCTCCTGTCTCCACTCACACAATGCTGGTTATGGGGGCACCACCAGGCCCAGCTTTCTATTGGTGTTTTCACATGGGAGCTAGGGATTTGAACTCAGGTCTTCACATGGGCGCTAGGAATTTGAACTCAGGTCCTCATGCTTTCACAGCAAACACTTTCCTAACTTTGTCATCTCTCCAGCTCAGAGCTGACCTATTTCATCTTCTTTTAAATAAGATTTTATGATGCTCTTTTCCCTTGAAAGGTATAAGCTAATTAAAATTAAAACTCATTACTGATTTTGGGCATAGGAAAAAATGATATGTCAGCCTTGAGGGAACAGGTACAAAGTAGGATAGTCATAAGCCACTTTTCTGATCAGCATTTTAATGTTTTCACTGGGGCTTGGATTTCTATGCAACTCTTTCTCCTCATCTGGAACTGGAATGACAAGGTCACCATTTCACTCCTTTGGTAGTGGAACCACAGGCACTGTAAGCTCTGCTTATTACCAAGGATTGCCAAAAGGCTGAGATCTGAATTAGTCCCCCTGCCCTAAGAAGTGGCTCTAAGATTTCCTCAGAGCATGTGAGAGAGAGAGTGTGTGTGAGTGTGTGTGTGTGTGTGTGTGTGTGTGTGTGTGTGTGTGTGTGTGTGTGAATGGGAGGGGGTGGTAAGAAGGCTTAACAATGTAGATATCTCTTTAAGAATACTTGGATTGTATTAGATTGGATTACTTAAAACATTTTACCAGTTACCAAAATTAGACTTCCCCTCTAATGACAAAGTTGTAATAAGTTAAAAAAAAAAAACGATTTTAATACTAGTTCCTTCAACAAATTGTGCAGGAAAGCAAACCAATTAGAATGGCATTGTATGGATGCCAATATTATCTCAGAGAAGTCCTAGTAAGTAATATTTCTCTTAGTAAGGAAAACAAAGGTTCTCTGAAAAAAATATAACCATTAGGTATTTCTAAACGTGGTTTATTACCATCAGGACCAATGTAATCCTGTATCCTGGGCAGTGCACAGGGCTATTTTCCATAGATTTCACAGGCTGACAGCTATCTCAGCACGTCTGAATTCAGTGTCAAAAAGAGCTCACAGGTCAAATAATAAACAGCTCATTCTTATCAGTAGACAGTTTTGCAAATTTGGCTACTGGCTAAAAGAGTGAATAGGAATTTTAAAAAAGCAGAAAAGGGGAGATAAAGGCAAAATTTATGTATAAAGGTGAGAACTATGCAGAAAGAAATTACTAACCTCATTTGGTTGAACACAATCCTTCCTTCTGGGGGCTTTAAAATAGATCCAGACCCCCCTGAGACTCACTCAAGTGATTTTCATGGCTTTTTAAGTTTCTGGAAGCTTTTCATTCTCCGAGGTTCATGGAATTCTCAGCAGATAGTCGCTTTTATCTGACTTAGGAGTACGATGTGTGAACTATTTCATGGAAGAAAACTATGATCCCCCACCCCATAGTGTCTTTTCCTAAGATTGTGTGGGTGATGGAATGGAAAGGCAAGGCTGAATATAGAAATAGTGATGCTCAAATACTCATGAAAATATGTGGAGAAAGACTAAATATGTTCATATAAAAGCTTGTCTGTGATATACACATATCACATATATATATACATGCATGTGTACCAGTGTGCTTCTACACATGTACAAATGCATATATGTAGGTGCATGTATGTGCACATGTAATGTGTATTGCCCAGAATACACACACATGTATTTCACAGGTGCATGTGTGTATGTATGTGTGTTGAGAAAGTAAATACCCATAGAGACAAATGGGGAACTCTTGTAAGCTATAGTTTAATAACAGTTAAGAGCAGAGGTGTTAAGAAAAAGGAAGATTGAGCTTTGATCCTGTCCTTTGGACTCTCAACTATCACACAGCTCCTAGAGAAATTCTCATCACACCCAGAATAAGTAATACGGTGACTGTGTCTGTCATGTTGTGTCTACCACTCATGGATTATTTTTTGGACATTATATTAGATAATGAGTATAAATGATGAGTTTTGATTCTGGTAATTCACATGTTCTGTCTGTGACATTTACTCAGCCTTGGTTTGTCTTCCTACCCAGGAAGAGTGGAGTTGTGGAAAAGCAGCACTAAGGCTAAGGCAGCATGGTTTCCATGGCCAGTTGGGAGACAATTCATCATTGGTTACAGAGACATGATCTCTTGGTTCAATGCTGCACAACAGCATGCTTGGGTGATTGGGTGTGTCATTTGTAAATCCACAGAAATGAATTTTCAATGCTCTGGAGATTAGGAAGTCTAAGATCAAATAGCTGGATAGAAGCTTTATATAGGTTGAAGGACTGCTGGCTCCTTATATGATGGAAAGTGGAAGGGCAAGAGAGTAAATGCTGAGTGAATTCTCTTCTAAAAGATCATCTTCTTGACCTAATTCACCTCTTGTGTGTGTGCTGCATGTGAAGCCCAGATGTTGGCAGCAGGGTTCTTCCTTGGTCACTTTCCACCTTACTGTTTGAGCAAAAGCCCTCCTCCATAGAAGATGGAGTTCACCAATTCAGCTAGACCTGCCACCAAGCCTTGGGGATCCTCATCTCTTTGCCTCCTCAGCACTGAAGCCATGGGCACATAACCACATACCCTTTTGCGTGGATGGTAGAGATGTGAAATCTGATCCTCATACAGCATGCATATGACCCACTGAGCCATGTCACTGACATCACAGTCTAGTCATCTCTTAGTAGGTTTACCTCTTAGTTGTGCTAGTACTGGCAATACCAGAACTTTAGACAAGATACATTCAGACCACAGCAACTTCTTTATGAAAAAACTGGATTTTCAAGGATTTGATTTAGGTGCAATTTTTTAATATGCATCCCATTGGTTTGATTACATGGAATAAATGTAAGATGGAAAAGCAGAGAAGGCAAGAATGAGAGGGGGAGAGAAATGAGTAACAGCACACAAAAGGAGAGGAAAGTTACTAATTTCATTTAGCTTAATAAATCATTCCTTTTACCAGGCATAATGAAGGATGGTCAGTTAAAGATAGCCACATATTCCTTGATAGTCTTTCTACTGGGAAGTCAAAATTAATTTCCCTACCTTGAAACCTGTGCTGGCCGTTGTAACTCACTTGGTAAAAGTAATGTGACATTTTGGGAACTTCTAAGTCTGTGGTCTAATGGATCTGGAGTTTCTGACTCAGACTTTAGAACACCCAGGAAAACTGGTGTTCTACGGGCGGGGAATCTGAATACCACAAGACTACCATATCACGACAAAGTATAATACATCTATCTGTGTCATTTTACATCTCTAAACTTTAGGGATATTTGTTATGCAATGGTGGATACCCAGAATAGACCTACTGTGTATATATGGAGGCTCTTTAGGCAGAGTTACTGATACACTATCTTTTTTATAGGAAGTTCATTCTTCTAAGTGAACTTTTATGAAACTGAGATGAGTATATGCTCAACAAAACTTCCTACACAAACAAGTACAGAAGGAACAGAAAACCAATACTGAAATATCTGGCATATTACTCTTTTCCCAAACTATCAAATACTTTTAATATATCATTACCAAAGCAAATTCATGAGATATCCTTCCATCTGGAGGCAGCTTGGCACCAAAACCAAGGGCTGGGAACATCTTGTCGCTGTCATAATCTTGAACAATTTCTCCTACGGCCTTCAGCGCCATGCCATAGGCATTCAGTTGGTAAGGGTTCATGTAGTGGAGAGAAGTAGGCTGGGCAGGATTTCCTAGGGACAGAAAATGTAGTAAAACACACGTACTTAGGCCACAGATTTGTAACAATACTGTAGGTTTTCTTTAATTCAGTTTCAAAAACTCAAAATTATCATTTTCTGCCTATCCCTACCCAGGATCTCTGTCTAGGCCTGGATCTTCACTCTATACCAATGGTGCCTCCCCTTCTAATCCCTCTCAAATTGTCACCTTGTCCTGACTTCACTCTCTTCCTTTAGTTATGTCTCTCCCACAGCAAACGCTATTTGTTTCTTTTGCTTCTTCTTGTTTTTCTTTTCCCTGGCCTTGTGTTTCTTTGTTCTGTTCTGTAAAACTGGCAATTAAAAGATCAACTCCCAACTCCTTGAGTCTGTGACCTTGTGTGAATCTCCCTTGTGCCTTCAACAATGCCAACAAAGATAGAAATGATAGTTGCTGAATGACATTGAACTTAACTAGTATCAGCAATGGTTATAATAATGAGGAATCTCTCATAGACTGAACATCTGACACCATTTCTCACAAGCTTTCCAACAAGTTCTTTATGAAGCATTTTGACTTTTGACTACTATGCTTCTATGAATATTCACACACAAGTTTTCATTTCTCTCAGATATATATATGTAAAACTGCTGGTTTATATGGCAACTCTGAATACTACAAATTTGAGTAACTGCTTAGTTGTTTTCAAAAGCAGCTACACCATCAACATCCACAATATTACGAAGGTTCCAATTTCTCTAGCTTTCACTGATACTAGCTGGTGAGACTGGCTCTGGCTATAGCTCTGGTTTATGCCTCCTTAAGTCAAAAGTAGGTCAAGAATACCATCCTATAATTATTTGCTATCTATATGTCTTATTTGGATAAAGATTCTGTTCAGATCATTTGCCTACTCTTATTTTTAATTTATTTTATTTTAAGATTATGTTTGTGTGTGTTGTGCCGTGGGGGGAGGAGCATGGTTAGAGGACAACTTCTGAGAGTTGCTTCTCTCCTTCTACCACACAGATTCTGAGGATTGAACTCGGGTCATCAAGCTTGGCAGTAAGCTTTATTTGATGAGCTATCTTGCTGAATCCATTTGCCTACTTTTGAATTTTGATTTTTTCATTGAGCTGTTAAAGTTCTTTGTGTATGTAAGTCTCTTATAGCCTGTAGGATTTGGACATATTTGCTACATTTCAGGCTTGTCTTCTGTTTTGATACTATAATTTGAAACACAAAATGTAATTTTGATAGCATTCACTTTATTTTCTTTTCGTTGCCCATGGACCTTGGTGACACATTTAAGAGTTCAATGTCACATCCACTGCCACCAGTTATTTCTGCTTTTTTTTCTGAACATTTTACAGTTTAACATTTTGAAATGTTTCTGTTTCCGTGAAGTTTTGTACATGACCGGAGATAAGTGTCTTAATTTCATCCTTTTGCATGTGGCCAACTACTTGACCCAGCACTCTTGCTAAAAGACCATTTTTTCTTCCATCAAATTGTGTTCAGTAATTCTCATTTGCCTTTTCTTGATCCTTAGCAATACCACATAAATTTATAAATAAATTTTCCCTTTTCTAAAATAAATCCAGAGTTGATATGGTATCAACTCTGTCAATCACTTGGAGAAAGATGGTTATTTTAGCAATGTTTGCTCCTTTAATCCAAAACAAAACTTTTAAATTTTTAAGTATTTTCTCTTGACATTCGTATCAGAATATAGTCTCCAGTTTGTAAAATTTATGTTTTGTGTTAAATTCATTCCTAATTATCTAATTTAAAAAAATATTATTAGAGGTGTGATTATCTTCTCATTTTCATTTTGAATACTTTTTTCCTTGCAAAGGTATAGAAAAGAATTGAGGTCCGTATTTATCTTCCTTCCTGTAGCCTTTCTCAACTCATGATTAATTGTAACACATTTTTAGTGGATTTCTCAGGATTTTGCATATTACAGGATATCTTCAAAAGTAGTTTCATTTCACTTTTATTTACCTATGGCATTGATATTTAATTATTTTCTCTAACTTCTCTAAAATCCAACTTCTCTAACTTCTCTCATTCCTAAGCATGATGTTGAGTAGGTTTTTTTATACTTTCTCCTCTACAAGGTTTGAAAGTGTTTGGCCACAAACACATGTAGAATTTTGCCAAATAATTTCTCAGCAACATTGGGATAGTATTCATTTTCAAAATTTTAATATTCAAAAATCAAGTAATATAAAGTAGTCCTATGAATAGCAGAAAATTAGAAAATGAATGAGCAGATGATATGCCACTATACTCCATTGGTTTTGGTTATTTTACAGAGTGTTTTTATATACACATGTACATGAAAGGTGATTTTTAAGTTTTTTTCTTGTGATGTCTTGGCCTCATCTTTGCATTTAAGTATTAACAGCCTCACAGAAAGAACCAAGAGATGCTTTTTTCTCATTGGTTTTTGGAACAGCTTGTGAAAGGCTGGCAATTAAAAGAGTTGGTAGACTTCATCAATGAAGCCTCCTGGAATTAAGGTCCAGTAAGTAAACACTGAAGATAGTTTTCTCATTGCTAATTCAGTTTCTTGTTACACATTGTTCAGGTTTTCAGGATCTTAAATGAATTTCAGTTACTGTGTCTTTCTATTGAATAGACATTTGATCCTCTTAGTTGGTCTAAAATTCACCAAAAGAACAACTAATAGTTCTTTCAACCAGTTGGATACAAGCTGAGTTACTTATTATGGGCCATATTTGATAGGCATGAATCAAGATTACTATCTGAAGACATAATGCTAATGAATAAACTTTTACATACAGAAAAAAAGTGAGCTGTTAGAATTTGGCCTAATTGACTGTAGTTCTAGCTCTTCAACATGTCTTACTAGTAGAATGTTTTGTAGGACTAGTTTTGCTCAACTAATTCAAGAAGAAGGTTGCAAGAAGAAGGTTGGATTTAAGTGCTTTTTGGATGGTGATTTGTGAAATGTGGGTCAGTGTAAGAGAAATGTAAAGAGATAATATGAGAGCTGTATACACATGAGTAATTCAGAAAAATCTGCAGGGGCTCCCCAGCATGCAACTGGGGTGTTGTGCAGGTTTGTTTTATGTCATGTTGACACAAACTAGAGTCATTTGAAGACAGACACAATCAAGAAAATGCCTCCATAAGATCAGGCTGTAGGCAAGTCTATAGGGCATTTTCTTAATTAGTGATTGATATGGGAGGTCCCAGGCCATTGTGAGTGGTGCCATCCCTGGGCTGGTTGTTGTGGGTTCTGTAAGAAAGCCACAAAGAGAAAGCCAGTAAGCAGCACTCCTCCATGCCCTCTGCATCAGCTCTTGCCTCCAGATTCCTGCCCTGTTTGAGTTCCTGTCCTGTCTTCCTCCAATGATGAACAGTGATGTGGAAGCGTAAGCCGAATAAACCCTTCACTCCCCAGTTTGCTTAGGTCACAGTGTTTTGTTACAGCAACAGTAACCCTAATACCAGCATCATCCTCGTAAATACAGTGGAGGCTAAAGGTAATGTCATTCAAAAGTGCACTCAATTCTCCTAACCCTGTAACATATCCCAGCAACTCCAGATCCCATGGGGAAGCCTCAGTTTTCCTTGTTATTGTATAACTCAGGAGCTGTGGCTTGCTGCAGCTGCAGCTGTTTGATATCAGCAGAAAATATCACATAGTACCACGAGTTTGGGAGGAAGAAGAAATAAAAAATTCCAAACACAGCTTTCTAATGAAGCTGTACTTCCTTTTTGTCCTGTAAATTTGACTTTTCTCAGTAAACCACTGTAGTTTGGGAATTACCTGTAGGTAAATATATACTTATGGCAACTTTTGGCAAAAATAAGCAACAAAGACTTGCAGGATGACTTAGTGGTTAGGAGTGCTTGGGGCATAAGCCCAGAACCCATAGCGGAATGACAGAACTGACTGACATTGTCAGCTGCTCTCCATCCACAGGCTGTGATACGTGCCTGCTCATACTCATACATGCACACACACAAATGGTAATAAAATAAAACCTAAAAAGATAAAATGGGGCTCGTGTTCCTAGGATATATTATAACTGATTCAAACAGTCATTTCATTCCAAATAAACTTGGTTAAAATAAAATAAAATTTTCATTATTTTTTCTCCTTAAAATATTTTTACACGAATGATTAATGTTCATATAAAATATCATATATCAATCATATTTAATGAATTAGATATCAGAAGGTTAATATTTGGGATTAATTATGATTGGACCCCATTTTCATGAGTAAATACACACAGAGGTGCTTCAGAATGGGGTCAATAATTAGACTTGCTTCAGAAATGACTTATACACACAATGGACTTAGCTACATCTAAAATCGGTATTCTTTGGAACGACATGTGAAATAGTAAAATGGTTCAACATGTAGTTAATGTGTTGTATATTTTGTTATATTTCCTTTACATTTTGTATATGTAAACTGTTGTATAATGTTAAAATAAGACAGAATTTTAGGATTTTTGGTGAAAAAAAAACTTAAGTGTCAACAGCTCTTATCAGGGAACAGTGGTAGCACTCACCATTTGATGCTGTGAAGTCAATAGCCACTGTGAAGTTGATCTGAGTCCTAGAACAGAAGCAAATAAAGAGTCACCAAGTAAGCAATTGCACCCACAAGGTTATTGTCACATTTTCAGTGTTACAAGTTTTCTTAAGTGTTGAATTTGAACAAATATTACACAGCATGAAATAGGCACATTTACTAGGTAAGAGTGTGTTAAGAATATCTTTGTTGTCATAATTCTGTAAAACAAAAAGTGGTTTGAACAAGATTAGCTTGGTTTTGAGCTTGGTAACCATTCCAGTGGCTGAGTGAAGAGTCTACATAGCGACTGTAAGATTCAAGTTCAACTCTCATAGTTAATTGCTGCTTTTGAAACCATCAGTAAAACTGTCACACATCTCTACAATGTCAGTCCTTAAGCTAACTTTCAAAAGTCCTGAAGATAGGACCTGGCATTATGTTTCTGAAAACTGAAATAGCTCAAGGGACAGCCAACATCAAGTTGGCATGGTAACCTCTACCTATTTATCAGTTATTGATAAATATAGCAATAAGAAATGTATGTATATTTTCGTTTTCAGCATCCAGTCAATACCTTACTTGGTTAGTTTTTTTTTTTCTTTTAAAAGAGTTACCTGTTTTTTCTCCCTCCCTCCCTCTATCCCTCCCTCCCTCCCACCTTCCCTCCCTCCCTCCTTCCTTCTCTCCCTCTTTCTTTTTTCTTTCTTTCTTGCTCATCCTTTAATTCTTTTGTTCTATTACAAATTAAATGAGCAACATTTCCCTTTTGGGTACACTCATGACTATTTATATTTACGATACCATTCCTTTCTTTGCAAAGACAAAAGCCATAAGTGTCAGTGCCATTATTACAGTGACAGTGTAACCCTATCTGTGAACCTCCCTTTCTTGTGTTATTTAAATGGCACCTCATTAAAGGAAATAAGCATGTGTTTTAGGAATACACTTAGCATATTTTAAAGACTTGAACTATTTCTTGTGAGAAACAATTCTCCTGACAAACTGATTCAAAGTCTGGAACAGTCAGATACCAATGATGACAATGATGCCTACCTTGATGTCCATACTAACCCAGAGGGGACTTATACATGAATGGTCTCTGACTCTAGAACAAAATCATCAAGCCCTATCATACTCCACTAACAAGCATTCCTTTCCCGTTTCAGACTCAGCCTCGGAAATTCTGCATCCAATTCTGAGACTGACTCAAGTGCACAGCTCTCCCTAGGGAACGAGCAACTTGTCATATTTATATATAACAAAGTCAATGTAGACTCCTTTTATAGCCATGCAGTAATGTTTTACTCCAAGTAGAAATCAGGTTTAGAGGCTAAGAATCCAGGCTCCCAGGAGGATCCATTCTGATCAGCACAAATCCAAAAGAGTATAACATTTAGAGAAGTAACACAGTGAGACATTAGGGAGATGGAACCTTGATATCTAACTCCCTTTGTGGGGCTAAAAGGAATGGCACCCCAACCCACTGATGTGTCATGGCAAACGACTGAAATACAGGGTGACAAGCTAACAAGAAAACAGAGTAAGGCTGAATTTGAAAGAGCTGGTTTAGTGTCTCAGCAACTCACTTGTGACCTTTGCCAAATTTCAATATTCTTAGAGGGCAGACTCACAGTAATAGCATAATAGCAGAAAAGAGACAACAGAAGTAAATAAAATATATACATATAAATAGCATGCATATTAAATATACATATTATGATGCACAGTTATCTGTTAATCTAACAATAATTTGATAAGAAAATTTTCACAGTCCTGAAAAAAACACAGTCCTTTTTAAAAATATATATTATATTTAAGGAGATTGATGCTCACAAAAGTCAATCATTTTCTACACCAACAACAAATGCCAAGATTAGAATTTAAATTAACAACTTTCCAAGAACAGGTGTCCTTAATAATAAAGATACTAGGACACACTATCATAGGCTTAATGTAAATTTGCTTTCTACAAGGTATGCTATCAATACTAATCTCAGAAGTGCCTGCATGTCTGTTATTCCCGTGGAAACAAGTTAAGCATAAAAGTAACCCAGAGCTTTGAGAACACATCATTTTTGCATATTTTTAATAACAAATTAGAATTCCACATTTTGGATCAAGCCTCCCTAGATTGTAGGAACAGACACCTAACGCTGATCTCTCTCTCTCTCTCTGTCTCTCTCTGTGCATGTGCGAACGTGTGTGTGTGTGTGTGTGTGTGTGTGTGTGTGTGTGTGTGCGCCCATTTTTGTTTGTATGGTTGACACTGGCGCAGGATCCTCTAAGACAGAGTAGAAGGGCCTGATGCACTTAGCACTGAAAGGTAAGTAATATGCCTGGGGTAACAGAGGCATTCAAAGACTAAAAGGAACCCTTGATGTATATTAATTAGATGACTGATGATAGGATTTGACTAACTCCTACTTTCCACGGACTCCCTCTGCCCAGTGTGTTCAGATCAGAAGGGAAACATTATGCCTTACCATATAGGCACCTGTTGATAATGATGCCTACTATTTCTTAAAAACAAAACAACAGCCACAAAAACTGAAGTTCAACAACCATCTTCCAATTGCCAAGAGCTGTGTGAAGTGAGGGAAAGACTTGGAAGCAAAGGAAATGCCAGCTGTGAACTCGCCATGCCTCTCTTCCAATAGTGGTTTACTAGATTCAACAACAAAAACAGCCCAGCATTTTTATCAGTGCATTCATTCTCACTTCTTCTGAGTGCTGAGTGCATCTACGCATAATGTGATGTGTGCTTAGTATGCCAACAGTCACATTCTACACATTTATAAAGTGTTAATGAATCCATTTCCTAAAGAAAGATGGTGGAAATTAGGCTGCAAAGCAGATTTCTTGAAGACTTTGATTAATGATTTTTTTCCCCATCAAGTAACAATGTCATCAATAACTGTACTACAGTCTCCGCTCTTTATCAGTGCTTGGAGCTTAATATCAGAGACAGGGGATGAAACATGAATTCACACAAGATGACTCCTGATGGACTATCCCATACAAGGATCGGTATGAATCCTTGAAATATTGCACTTAGAAATGTTGTTTAAGAAACAGACAAGAGAAAGCAGGATCTCAAGAAACAGTTAATTGTTGTTCTGGAACAGAAAGCAAGTTTGCCTGGCAAAGTGTGCCCTTTAGTATTAACACACACACACACACACACACACACACACACACACACACACTATAGCTCTGTGAGGGCATACACTTAACAAGTGTCCCTATTTTATTTTGCCACCTTCCTGAGGCTGTGAATGTCAGAAAAATCCTCCAGCACAATGGGCAGAGGTTATCGACACAGTAATCAAAAGAGAGCTGTTCAAATGACTCAGTCTCTGGGGCATTTGTAGTTGTTACTGTGATCTGTTATCATGAGTGACCATGGGGATATTCAGGACTGTCTCCATTTATGCCCCAATTCAATCCTGTCCAGTTGTGCAAACTAAACATTATGAATCATGAAGGTGGAGTCCTCCATCCCTGTTTAAATTAATTTTGATAAACCCAGATTTACATTCTGTAGCTGTTGGGATCCAGACCCACCCACCTCCAGCAGTCCTCTCTAGGCGTGGAGTTATCAGGACCATGCTTCTGCCCTGCTTTGCTAATATGCAATCCAGTTTATAATTTGGTTCGGTTAATCCTCTGATTTACTGCCATAAGCACTTATACC